CTCAAAATGTGGTCCTCGGACCAGTAGCGCTGCCATCAGTGAGGAGCCCCTTGCTACACCTAAGACTGAAGAAAAGGACATACATCTTGCCATTTGTCACATCTGTCAAATACTGAAAAGGGAAACTGAGCCACTAGGAAAATAAAGGCCATTCTAGGCCACTTGGATTATTAATGTCAAAAACGGGGGAAAAGTACAAGTAAGAAAATAATCGTTATCAGTAGCTTTCCTGCATGTATATGATGAACAGGACACATTGCCAAAGGCTTGGTTCCTAAAACCCAAAGCAGGGCAGCAAGGGCCACATGACAAAGTGTGGTAGCTGGAGAGAGGAGTGTGATGAAACAGTTCCCAGAGATGTAATTTAGGCCAGGGTAGCTATCAAGTGCTGAGGGTGAAAGGGGGAAATTGTAGTGCTTATGTTTTTCCCAATCAATAAAGCAGTCGGCAACCCAGGACAAAGAGAAAAGACAGGGCCAATGCACAGGAAAGATTCAATACTAGAGTTAATTGAAATGATGGGAGGAAGCTCTCACATGTTTTGAAATTGAAAGCAAAAATGTTTTACTGGCAACACTATTCTCTGGAAATATTTCTTAGTTATTTGGCTGAAAACATAGTGGATGCTTTGAGATGCAAAGGTCTATGTGGAAAACACGTTAGATACTTAAACAGTGTCTGGAAGGAAATGAGAGCCACAAATCTCCAAGAGGAGCTTGGTATTAGTCTGAGGTAGAAACCGAAGCAATAAAATAATTCAAGTAAACCCTGGCAACCCTAGATCATGAAGAAGACAAATGTAATTGTACCCAGGCGTGCCCACGCCACGGGTACTCAGAGACGCCACTGGTACTGAGACACGATTGGGCCCATTTTCACCCAAGAAAAAAGGTCACTAATCATCCCTTGCAATAGCAGACTTCAGATGACTGAAGAACATTTAGCAGCAACATGACATGAATGCCCTTATGTATTATAACATTTTCCCTTAAGATACTTTAGCAAGCCTAGGAAGAGAACTCACCCTTATTGAGCACCTACTATCTGTTTTACATGTGTGATTTCATAGCATCCTCATAACCCTCTGACAGAGGTGATACTGTTAGCATTTTACAGACGAGCAAAATAAGGTTCAAAGAAGTATGTCACCCACATCACATAGTTAATAAAAAGCCAGAACTCCAGAGACAAAATTAAAAAGCTCCATACTTGATGAAAACAGGTATCTCAACAAAAACAGCTTGGAAGGGATCAAGAGTATGGAGCTGCTATGGTTCGAATACGAGGCAAGACTGGTCTATATTGGTGTCAGTGAAGATAAGCGAGGCTTCTCCTAGAACCCACCTTATCTTTACATTGCTGGAATCCTCTTATCACCCACTTCTGGATGTATATTAGGTTTCAGATGTATTTCAAACTTGATAGCTGTAATCTGGGCTAAGTTGGAGGCTTCTGAAGACTTGGCACGTTTCAGGCAGTGTTATGTAATAGAATTGAGCCCTGGGCTGGGCCTTGGAAACCTGGGTTCAGTTCCAGCTGTGCCACTTATGAACTGTAAGAGTGGTGAGTTACATTGCTTCTCTGGGTGGCAGATTTTTTTCACCTACATGAGGTTGGATTAAGTATCCTTAAGAACCTTTCTGGGTCCATGATTCAGCCCTCCATGACTCAACTGCTTACAATTGTGACTTCCATCAAAATGTATTAGAAATGACCCGAAGAGTTAACAAGTCTGTCCAGACAAGACTGCTGTGTGGTTCAAGTTACCAAATATAAAACAAAACAAAACAAAAAAACAAAAAAAAACCCAAAATTCAAAAAACCCTACAAGAATAATTACTTAACTCCTGTACTCTACCATCTGCAAGAATAACCTGGAATTTAATGTTTTTAAAGTGGTTTTTTCCCCCCAGGATATATTTAAAACAAATATATATTCAAGTTCTTAGACAGATCTGGGTACAAATCCAAGCTCTACCTCTAATTAGTTCTCTGACTTAACATATCTGAGTTTCCCTTAGGCTTCTGTAAAATTGGAATTAATAATGAATATTAGCTGTAATGCAGTAAAGTGTCTGGCATCTAGTAGGAGCATAATAAGTACTGGTTATTGTTATTCCAGTGGTCATTAGGGGTCTGGACTACCATTGGGTAACAATTCAAAGGAAACTTCTCAGGGATGGAGCCTGAGACTGTACCTCATTAGCACTGGGAACTTGCCATTCATCTGTGTCTATGCAATAACAAACTCAGGTGCAGAGTAGAGAAATGTAATCATGCTTCTTCTGTACCTACTGGCATCTATCTCTTTCTTTCTTTGTAAAACCTTCTAATTCACCCTCAGTGGATAAAACCTTATAAGAGAAATGCTGATGTATTTGACAGGACAGCTGGAGGGAGTGTCTGAAGACAGGAGTGTCCTGGGACATCTGGAAAGAGTGCCTGTCAGACCCACATTTCATTTTAGTGGCTTTTTTTTTTTTTTTTTTGCCTATTTCCCAGTTTCTGCCCAATGCGCACAAAGAACAAAAGATTCTAGGAGGAGGTGACTTTACTTTGCTTATAAGCCCCACCAAAAAAACCAAACAATTTTGATGCTGACATGTCAATAACCAATCCATACACATCCCATCCGTTTGAGTGACTGCTTCTTGACCTCCCTGCCAAAGCTCTCCCTTTCCCCATCCCCTTCCCCAGCACTCAAACACTCTCCCACCCCCTCCCCCTTTCTACATACGCCACACTTTTTGTGACTTATTTTTCCTTCCCCGTCCAAATTTTGCTTTGGTGTTGCCAGGTTGGTGGGAAGCCTGGGTGAACAAAAGATGAACACAAGAACCAGATTCCAATCGCCTGTACTCTTTGAACCCCATTCTTCACATAATGAGGTTGAACTGCCTGTTTTCTAAAAGGAAGACCAATAGAAAGGTTAAAGAAAAAATTCCTGTTTTCTACAGGTAAATTTCCTGAGCAAAAAAACATAGTAAAGTGTCAAATATTTCCAGGCGTATTTTAAGATAAGTCAAGCATATTAACCAAAGCCTCTGAAGTTCACAAAAGCAAACAAACAATTGCTAATTAAATTACTACTAGAGATACCATGCTCATTCTGAAGCTTCTTTTGGTGCTAACATCATATGATTCAGAGTATAAGTTTACTCTTTAAGTAATTATAGGTTTATAGCTGTTATACGGATAATTTACGACATACCATGGTCATAGCTAAGCAAATATCGGTTGATAACGAGGCCTTAACCTGTAATGGGATCTTCCCAGTCTAACAGCGCTCTTATGATCTATTTTGTAATGATACACTATATAACAACTTTTACAGGACAAAGGTGTAATAGGACAGCTTATAACAACCCCTTAAATGCTTAAAAGTATCTCTTAACTAATTAAGCTTTTAGGGTTATTAGCTTGAGTTGGGGTTTTTCAGTACATTAAAAAAGATGATATAGTAAAGCTTTCTCTAGTAATCTATTCCCTATTTTATTTTTGATTATCCCTTTATATAATACCCTCTGAGAAGGATTAACAACTGTTACAAATTATTCTACAAAAAGTAGGAGGGGAGTATGAAAGGGGGAAAGGAGATGGTTGTCAACCCCGGCAAAAACTGAAAATGTCCTGCTTAATCTTTAAATACTGGCCATTTTCAGAACTTTAGCTGGTATTTAACTATTAGGTATCCAAATCTATCTACGTGGCACATATCAGACAAACTGAGGTTTCAGAAGGAATCCAGTATGCCAAATGGTAATGCTTTCTCACTGATGCTGTGTCAGACAGCTCACAATTTTGTTTCGATGCTTTTGAAGCAATAACACCTTGAGTTTGAGATACTGTAATTTAGCAGTTCTAAATGAATGCATGTCTCCCTCTTGGTTTGAAGTTATACATTCTGTCTTTCTTCAATCTCTCACCCTTTTATTATCTATCCTGACAAAAATGTGCTTGGAAATTTTTTTCCATGCATACATAGAACTGCAAAGTAGTCCCACAGGGTGGAAAATGCTGAACTTCTCGTAATGTACCATTGACCCTCAGTTCAAACTTCTGGCATGTATGATCTTGATTTATTTTCTCACTTTTCCTACATGAATGTTTAATATCTTGTCTTTTAAATCTGTTTGTGAGATCCTTAAAACCAGAGACCCCATGGTAAAAACTTTCTTAAATTTTTGACAGGGCCATGCCAGAAAGTACATATGAATACTTAATATTTTGCTGTTTTACAATACTTAAGAGAATGGAATTTATTCTTTTGTTAACAGCTGTGCCACTGAATGTTACTACATAAGCTGTAATTACCAAGTTATCTCAGGCAAGTCGCTTAACCTTTCGTGGTCCCAGTTTCTCTACTGGAGATAAGATTTTTCCAATTAGAGAATTTAGGTTTTGGAGTAAGACAGCACTTGAAAAGAACTATTATTTCTTCCATTTACTAAAGAAGCAGGAATTGAACCTATTACCTAACCTCTCTGAGCTTTCAATTCCTCACCTGTCCTTTGGCGACCAAGGGAGTAGTTACACCTAACAGGGATTTTTTTTCATGCAGACTGAGAACGTAGTATAAAGAATGCGGCACGTTACCTGGACTTTGGTTCATGCTCAAAAATGTCAAGTATTATTGTATCAATTTTCTTTCAGCTTTAGAGCGCTAAGATTAGCATAGATGTAAAATCTTAATTATCAAGCACCCAAATCCCCAGTATCTTCAGCTATTTTGGCACCACTTGGATCCCCAAAGTGAAAATGAAAAGCCTTTAAAGAACATACTGATTCAAGGCCCATTTTAGTACCACTTTGCTCAGGGTAAATAGACTAATTTTAATAATCATTGAAATTGTGATATTCATAATTGAGTCAATAAAAACATGACAAAGACGAACCGTTTTAAGACAAATGACTAAGAAACTTGTTCTGAAATGCATGCTCAGAATTAGACACAGGATGTCAGCAATTTACGGTCATGGGTTTGCACAGAGAACACTGACCTGGCTCGCTGGAAGTGAAGAACAGAACGCCCTGCTCACAGCTGGACTTACCTACACAAAAGAGAGAAATACTTTATAAATCCTACTGCTTGCTAGGAGCACATGGGGAGCCACTGACATTTAAAACATACATTGTTTTCCTTTTTTTCCCCCCAAAAGGGCAGAATCTGCTTTACTTCTGCCAAGTGTCAGTGTTAAAATGGCATTTCTTGGGGTCATATACATCCTGAAATGGCTAGGTTAACTTTTTGCAGCATTTCTGGAAGTCTGTTTCTGATTCTTTGGGGATGATACAGAATAAAGCATGTAACCACAAACTCAGGAATAGGAACAAGGAAAACCTTACAGGCATTTAACAATATGGAAGTCAACGAAGTGGACACGCTATTCTTCCAAAATAGCATTTTTTGGACATTATCGTAAGTAAAAGTCCAAATGATTCTGGTTTTTACTATTTGATTACATTTGTATAGTTAATAAGTTATGCTGTTGTGCCAGTGACATCAAACTACCTATGTTTCTATTTTCACCTCTGTGATCACACACAGCCCCTATGCACTTAAATTTACGCTCCTCTCAAAACAACGATCAACGGGGCAAGCTTAGAGTACTATGATTTCATTGCTTCCGACTGAGTTTTCAGAGTCTTCCACGCTGGGATGAACAAGTTAAATCCCCTTCCCACGAATACGTCCAAATACAATCCAGGTATCTCAGAGGAAACCCAGTTGAATAATAATTTGCCGCCCACTTCACCTGCGGAGCGGTGTGTAGACATTATTTACATTGAAAAGAGCTTGTGTTTCTTTTCTAGCAATCAGTGACCCTCTTGGGCATCTACAGAGTTACCGGAAATGAAATATAACTCCACATTTCTGAAGAGTGTTTTTAAACAAACTTATCTGTATGTTTAGAAAAGCCTAGCGTTTGCTGCGCACACAGCCGATTGGCTATTTATATCTGCTGATAGAGCACAGTTATACAGAGATGAAAACTACTGATAACATACTTCTGCAGCTTAGAGAGGATCCACAATACGGTGTAGAATATGCAGCACTGCCCGGGGTGGTGGTGGGGAGCCCCAAACTAGTGAAACCTCAGGCTGAGCGTCTGGCTGGGGTTCAACAGAGCTGCGTGAACAGCAAGGGTTGGGGGAAGTTCAAAGTCAAGGCGACTCCTCTGGTCTTAACTTCCTAGGTCTTCCTAGGTCTGGGTGCCTTTGTGTATATACCGATCTTCGTACCTTTCCCCGCCCCCAACCCCAGCAAACGTGTGCAGTCAGCTCGAAAGGCACCGCTCGTGTGCTGACGTGCAAAACCAAGTCAGAACCCTGCGCCTGGCGCTCCCCTCTAAGTTTCTGGCTCCTCCAAGTCTAAATATTGACACTGCTCCTCGGTTGAGATGTTTGATACTGCTGAGGGTAGAAACGGCAGAGCGACAGTAAGATCGGGTGGTCCATTTTTACACAGCTGGGCCTTCCACTTCGTCTTCTGTAGTAGGGGTTGGATTCCCTGTCTGCATATCCCCACCCCCCGTTTTTCTCCCCGAAAGCTGAGCGCGCAGAGACAAGGTAAGGTGTTTTGCCAGCCCCTCATGGCAGCTCCCACTGTTGTCACAGCAACTCACAACAGACTCCATGGACACCGGCTGGTGGTGGGGAGCGCCGAACTCTGGGCTGACCGGTCAGGGGGGTGCAAAAGCCCAAGGGGCTCGGGTATCCCCCTCTGCAGTCCCACCACCGTCCTTCCAAGGAAAAGAGCCCTCTGGTCTGCGCGGCACCCCGCCCCGCCCGCCTGCAAAGGGTGCCTGTTGTGCATTTTCTCAGCTCCAAGTTAGGGGTGCGGCTGGACGGGCGCTCCTAGGAATCTCTTCTGCTTGCCTCTGATGGCGGGGCTCCCGGCCTCGCGAGACAGGCGAGGGCGGCTCCCAGAGCAGCTCGGTCCCACGACTCTCGCTCGGGACGCTGCCCGCCGCGTGGCGCGCGGCCCGGGGCTCCCACAGGCCACCCGCCGGGGCCGGGGCGGGTGGAGCGAGGCTCCGCGGCGGCCGCTCGGAGAAGTTTCACAGCATAGCGCACTCACGACACAGAACCTACCCTGAAGCCGAGCGAGACGCCAGCTCTCTCCGCCTTCAAGGGCTGGGGGAGCGGGGGGCGGGGGGCGCGCTGGCCCCCGCCACTCAGCAGCAGCCACGACTGCGCGCGGTCGCGGGTGTGCGGGGCCCCTGCGCGCGGCGCGCCGCCCGCCGCCCAACTTTGCACAAAGGCAGCATGGCACTGCCTCGCCTCCCGGGCTCGCCCGGCGCCGCGGCCGCTCTTCCCGCTGCCGGGCCGGAGGGGCTCGCCCCTTTCCGCCGCCGCCCCCCAGCCCTCCCCTTTTCCTCCCGCCCCCACCCGGCTCTCAGGCTGGCTGGCCGGCCGGGCGGAACAGAGCGCTCGGCACCCAGCTCCGCCGCCTTGGCGGCCGCCGCTCGCTCCGTGACGTTAGCAGCCTTCGCGGCTATTTATAGCCACACGGTTGGATTTCATTCATGAAACCGGGGCCTGGTGTGTCTGTGCGCTGGGGCGCGGGTTGCAAAGGTGCCTCCGCTTGACGCGGACCCGGGGGGGGGCCCGGCCTCGGAGGCAGACTGCCCGGGGCTGACGTGCGCAGTGCCTGGCAGACCCCAGCCCCGCTCGCTAGCGGCCGGGCGGGGAGGGGCAGGACGACCAGCCCCCCCCCCCGCCCCTCCACCCCACCCCGTCCTCTGTCCCCAGCACTCCACCCATTCCCGTACAACTGCTGGCCCTTTGTCCCAGGCTCCGGAAAAGTAAGTTGGGCCACTAACCGGCTGGGCGGCATGGTTTTCTTCCCCCAAGGAGCTGACCGGCCGCGGACTCCGAGGGAGGACATGGGCTTTTGTTTCAAAACCGAGCCCAGCTGCTGACTAAGGCCTGCGTTAGCCCAGCCTGCTCCTCCCCTGGGCGCTGCACGTGTTGGCCGGCTCCCCCCTCTGGGTTACCTTCCTCTGTGACTTGGCTCGTGGGGGTCCCCGCAGGGGGCGGTAAGGTCACACGGGCTGCCCCCCCCCCCCCCCGAGTAAGTAGGCGATTTACAACCGCCTACAAATGGCTGAGTGAGGAAGTGAAATTGATTCTGGCTGCTCGTGGGTTGTCAAAATTCTTGGATGCCCACGACAGTCCGTCCTTCCTCGTGAACTCTTTCTTACTCTTCCAGGCTGACTTTGAGCTTTGAGGACAGGACCAGGGGCAGTTTTCATGCACGCACGTAAAAGGTACTTATTTAGTGTCTACATACAGTGTGCCAGGTACCCTGTCAAGCTCTAAGGAGGTGACAGCGAACACAACCAACCTGGTGCCGGCCCTCAACGTGCTTTCAGTCAGCCTATTAAAGTTACTGTGTTTTAAACCTCCTTATATTCCCAGCTTATAAAGAGGCAATTAGGAGATAAAGGTATTGATGTGTTCAGCTACCTTAAGGGGCTTGTTCCTTTAAGAAACCTTCACCGAGGAGGCTGTCTGTGTACTAAGGGCTGGGGATACAAAGATGGCAACAATGTCCTCAAGGAGTTCTCAGCTAATGGGTTCCTGAAGGTTTGCAGGGCTGGGAAAGAGGGACCCACATTCTATTGCAAAGGCTGCCTCTTTGTGTTATCCCTCAAGAAACAGAACATTAGAAAAAAATTATACATGCGAACATACCCCCCTCTCCCTCAGTTTCTTCCAAGAAACCATCTTCAGATTCCCAGATGGAATACTTGCTCTCCCTTCGTAGGCTCCCCAGATGAGTTTTACTACATTGGATATTCCTACTCTTCCTCACTAGTTTATATTCCCTTTGGGGACCAAGTCTTGCCTGGTGCTCTCTGAATTTCCCAGAGACCCCGGAATATAGTGATATTCAGTGTTTTTACAAGGAAGGTTATTAAGGGCAACCTGCTTTGTTTAAGCCATCCTCACTGAACTGTCTGTTGGGAATGGAATTATTAGTCCCTAATCTTTGATACCCAGAGAAGAGGATAATGAAAAGTCAAGTATGGGCGTCTACTCTAAGAACTTCAACACAGATACATGAGGGGGTGATCATTTACTTGGCACAAAACAGACTTTGCTTAGTCTATTTAAAAGTGACTCCATTTTGAAAGGTTTAATCAATATATTATACATTTTTTTCAGGAACACATTTCTTTCTTGGGAAAAGTTAATTAACCCTGTTCACTCCTAGCAATCAGTTCTCTTTATTGCAAGCCATTTCTCTTCAGAGGGGCTAAAAAATAGCGTAAAACCTCAAGAGAAATAGGAATCAACATGTATTATGGCCTTCACATGTGGCAGGCAATGGGTTAGGCTAGGAGATTCCAAACACATTGTCTCAAGCCTCACAGCAGCGGATGAGGTAGATGCCATTGTTAACATAACCATTTTATAGATGAGGAAACTGAGGCACACAGAGGCAGTTTCCTGAGATTTTGACAGCTGCATTTCCACCTGGGTCAGCCTGTGCTAAGGCCTTATTTTACCACTAATTGGCTTTTTGACATCCTGCCTCTTCTCAATTTCTTTCACTTCCCCAGTTAGAAATTAAAAAGAGTTAAATGGCTTGTTTAAGCAGCAGGTAGGTTGTAGGACCAGAAGGACACCTATACAAAGACCCCAGTTGGTAGGCAACTGTTCAGACGTTGCCCTCCACCCCTAGGGGGCACTGAGGCTCAGATAGGCCTTTCAAAGGATGCTTCTTCTCCAGGGGGCAAAGAATTAACCATCATTATGGAATTACCCAGTTGGATGCCTACATCTGAGGGAAAATGACCGGAAGAATGTCCAGGAAAATAAATTGGTGTAAACAATAATTCAGGTGTGGCAGAGGAAAGGTCATGATTTAAGGAAGTCCTTCCTAACCAGGGCAGTGATTTGAGAAAGAGGTTGCCACAATGGTGCTATGTAGCCCCCAAATTTTACACATGAAACTCAGGATTCTAAAAAAGTTGGACAAAATGAGTACAGACTATTTTGCCAACAGGAAAGGAAAAGAACAATAGCAAATAATCCTCTGAAGCACTGCCATGAATCTTGTTATTGCCCTGTTCTTGTTATTATCACAAAATAATCCACATGCGTATACTAAAATTGTGGCTTGCTAATAAAATCAATACCATTCGCTTTTAATAAATATAAAAATTGGTGGGACTTCCCTGGTGGTGCAGCCATTAAGAATGCGCCTGCCAGTGCAGGGGACACGGATTCGAGCCCTGGTCCAGGAAGATCCCACACGCCGCGGAGCAACTAAGCCCGTGTGCCACAACTACAGAGCCCACGTGCTGCAACTACTGAAGCCTGTGCACCACAACTACTGACCCCGTGTGCTGCAACTACTGAAGCCACACACCTAGAGCCCGCGCTCCACAATAAGAGAAGCCACCGCAATGAGAAGCCTGCGCACCGCAACGAAGAGTAGCCCCCGCTCGCCGCGACTAGAGAAAGCCCAAGTGCAGCAACAAAGACCCAATGCAGCCAAAAATAAAAGAAAAATTTGGTACTTAAGCTTAATTAAACCAACACTGTGTATTTAAACACTCAGGATTGTACTGCACAAAAGTGGTGTAAAGACTTTTGACTACCTTTTATGGTAATTATTTACTGAAGTCACAGGATTAAAAAAAATTCTCACAATCAAGATACAGAAGTTTCATCATCATAAAAGAACTCCTTCATGCTAAATCTTGGTATTTGCATCCCCCCACCAACCATTTATCTTTTCTCCATCTCTAGAATTTTGACATTTTGAGGCTTACTTTAATAAGAGCATACAGTATGTAACGTTTTGAGATTGAATGAAAAATTTGTTTTACTAGGCAGAATGCTCTTGAGGTTCATCCAGGGTGTTGCATATATCAGTAGTTCATTTCTTTTTATTGCTAAGTAAACTATTGGATGGATATACCAGAATTTGTTCATCCATTTTCCCATTGAGGAACTTTTGAGTGGCTTCCAGTATTTTGCCATTAAGAATAATACTTCTGTAAACATTGCATTGTAGGTATTTGTGTGAACTTAAGTTTTTTATTTCTTTGGGATGAATGCCCAAGAATGCCATTGCTGGGTCATATGCTAAGAAACTGTCAAACTATGTTCCAGAGTGGCTGTACCATTTTACATTCCCACCAGTAATGTATGAGAAATCTAGTTTCTCCAAGATCTCACTAGTATTTGGTATTATCTGTATTAAAAAATATTTGTTTTCAATTGTACAGTAGCTTTGTAGGGACAAGTCATTGTGGTTTTAATCTGGATTTCCCTAATGACTAATAATGTTGAACATCTCATGTCCCATGTCTCTTTTTGCTGAAATATCTGTTCATCTCTTTGGCCTACTTTGTAATTGGATTTTTTTAACTACTGAGTTTTGAGATTTTTTTTTTCCTTCAAAAATATATCCTGGAGCAGAAGCAAGAAGAACTACAATCCTGCAGCCTGTGGAACAAAAACCACATTCAAAGACAGATAGACAAGATGAAAAGGCAGAGGGCTATGTACCAGATGAAGGAACAAGATAAAACCCCAGAAAAACAACTAAATGAAATGGAGATAGGCAACCTTCCAGAAAAAGAATTCAGAATAATGACAGTGAAGATGATCCAGGACCTTGGAAAAAGAATGGAGGCAAAGATGGAGAAGATGCAAGAAATGTTTAACAAAGATCAAGAAGAATTAAAGAACAAACAAACAGAGATGAACAATACAGTAACCAAAATGAAAAATATGCTAGAAGGAATCAATAGCAGAATAACTGAGGCAGAAGAACAGATAAGTGACCTGGAAGACAGAATGGTGGAATTCACTGCTGAGGAACAGAATAAAGAAAAAAGAATGAAAAGAAATGAAGACAGCCTAAGAGACCTCTGGGACAACATTAAACGCAACAACATTCGCATTATAGGGGTCCCAGAAGGAGAAGAAAGAGAGAGAAAGGACCCGAGAAAATATTTGAAGAGATTATAGTCGAAAACTTCCCTAACATGGGAAAGGAAACAGCCACCCAAGTCCAGGAAGCGCAGAGAGTCCCATACAGGATAAAGCCAGGGGGAAACACACCAAGACACATAGTAATCAGATTGGCAAAAGTTAAAGACAAAGAAAAATTATGGAAAGCAGCAACGGAAAAATGACAAATAACATACAAGGGAACTCCCATAAGGTTAACAGCTGATTTCTCAGCAGAAACTCTACAAGCCAGAAGGGAGTGGCATGATATACTTCAAGTGATGAAAGGGAAGAACCTACAGCCAAGATTACTCTACCTGGCAAGGATCTTATTCAGATTCGATGGAGAAATCAAAAGCTTTACAGACAAGCAAAAGCTAAGAGAATTCAGCACCACCAAACCAGCTCTACAACAAATGCTAAAGGAACTTCTCTAAGTGGGAAACACAAGGGAAGAAAAGTACCTAGAAAAACAAACCCCAAACA